CCCGCCTGCTGCCCAAACAGCAGCGCATCTCTCAGCCCTGCAGCACCGCGCGCCGCCGGGGTCCCCACTTTACCCAGCGCCCCAGCTAGGGTGGCCCTGCCACGTCCGTGTTAGTAGCTCCATTTTATGGGTGAGAGCACTGGCCCCAAGTCACAGGGCGAGTGGGAGGCAGAGCTCGCGCTCGCACCCTCGATTTCCGTGAACTTTAGCCACACTCTGTCACAGGTTAACGGCCGGGCGCGGGGGTTGGCACCTGCCCTCAGTCACTCGGGTGGGAAGCAAAGCTAGTTGTTTAAGCGAACATCCGGGGACCTGACCAGACGGGAAAAAACGAGCCCTCGTGCACGTTACGCGCATGCGCCAGCCCGCGAAGGGGGCGTGGGCTCGCGGGCACTGAGCAGGGCGCGTGCGCGGTTTCCTCGGGCTCCGATTGGTTTCCACTGGCCGGGGGGCGAGGCCTTGCGCCCCGCGCTTCCTCCCACCGGAGCTTCCGTATCACCGCCGCCCGAGTAGTCTGAACGCCGGCCGTTGGGCAGTGGCGGGCTGGAGGCGAAACTGGGGTGTGGGGTGGAGTTCGGACTGAGAGCTGAGCTGAGACGGAGCACTGCGTCCCAGCGAGGTGAGCTTCAGGAGACGCCCTCCCTGCCCGCGCCCCTCCTGTCCCCGATGACGTGTGCCATCCCGAGCCCCGGGCATTTCGGCCCCCTCACCTTTGACCTCAGCTTTGACAACCCGGACCCACGACTACTTCACCTTCACCTCGAGTCATTCGAGGACCCCTAGTCCGCCCTCAATGCCGCCGATCAGCGTTGCTGGCCTTGCCGACCCACCCGGGAACCCCTTTTCCCTATATTAACGAGAGTTTGAGCCCCCCTCCCCCACGCATTGCTGGACCACATAACGACTCCTTCTCTCTACAGATGGACAGGACAGAAGGCAGTGCTGGACAGGCCGCCCCTGCAGAGCGGTCCCACCGAAGCAGCGTGTCCTCCATGGGAGCCCGAGGTGGGTCCCTGTCCCCACCCTTCTTACCCTCCAGTCTGGGGAGAAAGTTCATGACTTTGTCATTAAAGATAGCCTTTCATATATTAACAAGGAGGTTCCCTGAAATGTGGGAAAGTCTGGGACCTGGCCCTCACAGTACCCTCTCTGGCCTTGAGGTCCCCATGAGATTGCACGGATAAAGGATGACCCTGTCATTGTTTTGTTTTGTTTTTATTTGTTTCACACACACACTGTCCCTCCACAGTGGAAATCGTCTGTTTCACAGAAAGGGAATTGGGCCCTGAAGGGGGCCAAGTCCCAGCACTGGAGCCCTGGAGGCCTCTTTCCCCACCTGAGAAATGGGCGTGAATTTCAGCCTCCTGAAGAGTTCTAGAGCCCTGGTGGTCCAGTAGTTAAAGCACTCTGCTGCCAACCAAACCCACCAGTCTGCTCCGGTAAAGGTTACAGCCTTGGAACCCCAGAGTAGAAGGGGCAGCTCTGCTCTGCTCCAGGGGTAGGGGTAGGTCGGAATCAGCTCAAAAGCAGTGGGTTTGGTTTTGGAGATTGTTTTATATTCTTTGCGGAAGGTAGTACTCGGAACAGGATAGACTTGGGGTACACTGAGCCCCCCACTTGTATCCATGATCATGTCATTTGACCTCTAGCCTTACTCAGAACCCTCAAGCCTCCCAGAAACCCTGCTCCTCAGGCCAGGCCCTTGAGAGAGGCTGTTCGCCTTTTCTTACGGATGAGATAACTGCGTGAAAACTAGTTTGCGAAAGTCTGGCAGCTGGTCACCATCAGACTAGAAGTGAATGGGTGCATGTCAGCCTCCCCACCTGCGGCTGTTCAGGCAACCAGCTGGTCCAGGGACGGACTGGTTCTGACTGTTTGGTTCTGACTGTTCTTCCGAGGATTTCCCTGTGCCTCCTGGTGCCAGACTACTTGGGCTGCCCCAGCAGAATGACCAACATCAGCTACTCTGAAAAGCCCATCCTGGGACTCACTTTTATCTACTCACACATTAGCCAAGCCAGAAAAGGGTAGTGACCTGCCTGAGGACACCGGCAGATTACCACTTACATAACATTGTCACCACTGTAACCATCAGATGGATTCCGTTTTCCCACCTGTGGAATGTTTCCAATGCAGAAGCACAACAAGGGCATTTGGGGATGGGCAGTGGTCACCCCATTTTGAACTGATAGAGCTTGAGGTAGGGGCTTTGCTCCCTGAGCCTGAATAACAAGGTTTCTGGGAGGTCTTCAGCTCTTGGGTAAATCCTAATAGACGTAATCTTCAGGAGACCTTTCAGGGACTCTGCCTGGAGCCTAGGTTACCTCGGGGCACAGGGTGGGACTCCCGGGGCTCCAGCCCCTGTGGCTGCAGCGATGAGCCTCCCTTGATGTGCCTCCCTTGACCTGGCCTCACCCCCTCGCAGGAGCTGATGTACTGGTGTACCTGGCGGATGACGCGGTGCTGCCCCTGGCTGTAGAGAACCTGCCCTCGCTCAGCGCCCACGAGCTGCACCGCATAGTCCGAGAAGTCCTGCGGCTTCCAGACATGGCCCTGGACGTCTTCGCGCTCTGGCTTGTGTCCCCTTTGCTCGGTGAGGAGCTGTGACCAGTGGTGAGAGGGCAGGGGGTGCTCCAGAACTTCTGGATAGCGGGGCAGGTGGGGCAGAGGTATGTCCATCTGTCCACATCTCTGGAGAGGACTCCTGGGGCTCAGTGTATCCTCCTTTCCCTTTGCTGGTGACAGAGGAGGGGCTCAGCTTGTCTGGGTGATGGCAGAGGTATGTCCCTCAGAAGTGGCCCTGAGATGAGATCTGTGTCTCCTCTGAACCCCATCCTTGGTGCACAGTCTCACCTCATCCCAGATGACATGGCTGACATGGCGCTTTGGAGCAGTGGACCCAGCATGAGGTCTGGCCGAGCGCAGAATAGGAACTTGTGTGAGCCTTGCGGGCCTTTGGATAACGGTGCATCTTGGGGCCAGCAGGGCCAGGAAGCTGAGTGGCTTGGCACCTTTGTGGGGAGTGACTGGGGGGGGGTCTTCTGTGTGGAAGGGCTCTGGGACCCTCCTCTCCCTCCAGGATGGGATGGTCCCAGAACCAGAAACCAGACAAGGTCTAGGGAAACGGACTGAGAACCCAAGAGGAGATAGAGTAACTGTGGGGTCAGCTGTGCTCCAGACCCTCCAGCCCGAGGTCCCCGGTGTATAGGGGGACCTCTTTGCCCCTGGCTGCCTTTGCCAGGAGCTGGAGGAGAAGGAGCCCACGTTTTCTGAATCACGGTGCTCTCCATTTTAGAGAAACAAATGAGAAAGGGGGGACAGGTCCCTTTGATGGAGCAAGAGGATAGCTAGGGCCCGGCACAGGACCCCTAGGGATGGTCCCGCCTTGAGGGAGGATCCAGTCGGTGGGTGAAGAGTGTCCACTCCCACCCCTGCTTCCTGTGCAGCTGCTGCTTCTGCCCACCCCCTTTCTGCTCACCCCCTTCCCCCTCACTGTTCTTATCCTCAGGGTCTTTGGTCATCTGGCTCTGCTCTGGAAAGCGGGGGTGGTGTCCCCTGTGTGCTGGCCACTGCCCGGCAGCAAGAGGCCCACTGTCTCTTCCTCCTCCCACTTCCTCTGCGAGAACTCCCTCCTCTTCACATTCCTGGTCCCCTCCTCCAGAGAGCCTGAATGGGCTGCCTGTGTGGCCCGGGTCATACTGGGCACCACCCTGCCGGTCTGGAGGCCGCAGCAGAAAGCAACACCCACTTTGTCCTGAGGCTGGCTCAGACTCGAGCCCCTCAATCCAACCTTATTGTACCCTGTTACCCCAGACCCATGTGACACGGTAACCAGTGCTGCTGCATTGAGAACCTCAGGGACAGAAAAGGGGCATCGCCAGACCGTGTTTGGGGAGGGTGTGAATTTCTAGGACCCACTGTCCTATCACAGAGCAGCGCTCTGGGAACTGTCAGTCGTGGTTGGGGCACAGCGTGTGGGCAGGTGAGCCCCATCTGGGAGTCCACAGGGCCGAGGCCAGCACAGGTCTGCTCTGATGCTGGGGTCCTCTGTCTTATGGGGTCCAGGTCCTACCCTTTGTGTGTGACTGACTGATGGATCCCAGCAAGTCGATGACCTCGTCATTCCCTGATAGTGGACACACAGTCTCTGGCACCTCTGATTCATGGCCAGACGACCTTAAGAGCCACAAAACGGACCTCACTTCAGTCCCTAACTCTGTGGCCTTGGGCAGTGACTGTCCTTTAAAAAGTGGATGAGGGAGCTCTGGTGGCCTAGTGGCAAGAAGCTGCACTGCAATCCGAGAGGTACGCGGTTTGAATCCACCAGATGCTCTGCTGGAGAAGGAGGGACAATCTCCTCCTGTACCAGTCAGATCCGATTTGACAGTACACACACGCGCGCACACACACACGCACGCACGCACGCACGCAAAATAAAAGTGATATCCTTCCTCCTTAGCACTTGAGTGAGGTCCTTAACGGCAGATTTGCCCTTACAGTGCGTCATGTGACTTCTTGACTGCTGCTTTTGTGGGTGCTGATTGAGTGACTGCTGTGCGCGTGCCCCTCCGGTACCCGTCACGAATGTGGTCACAGTGCTGTCTGTTGTGACAGTCATAGGCATGGTCGTGGTGACCGCAGCCTTCTCAGGCCACCATCCCTCCTGTCCCGCAGAGGTGCAGCTCAAGCCCAAGCACCAGCCCTACAAACTGGGCCGCCAGTGGCCGGAGCTGCTGCTGCGCTTCACTGATGCCCCGGATGAAGATGTGGCCATGGGTCAGTGCCACTGCCAGCTGTCCCCACCCCAGACCCTCCTGGGCGGCCAGTCTCCTGTTGGGGGGTGTCCTGCCAGGGAGGGGCCCCCTGAGTAGAGCTGAGGCAAAGGGAAGGGCTGTGTAACAGGAGAGTTGGGACTTGGGGAGTGGGCACACATGGGGGTGGTAGGGTAGCTGACCAGTGCCAGGTGCTGACCCCGCCTCTCCCCCAGACGAGCCCTCCCTGCAGTTCCGGAGGAATGTGTTCTTCCCCAAGCGGCAGGAGCTGCAGGTGAGGCTGCAGCAGTGCCCAGGTCTGCCTGTGCCCCCTGTACCCCCATTCTGGGGCTTTGCCCAGCCCAGCTGAGCAGCCCCCACCCCGGCCCACAGATCTGTGATGCGGAGATCTTGCGGCTACTGTATGAAGAGGCCAAGAGCAACGTGCTGACCGCAAGGTACCCATGCGATGAGGAGGACTGTGAGGCCCTGGGCGCCCTGGTGTGCCGGGTGCAGCTTGGACCCTACCAGCCCGGGCACTCTGCTGCCTACAGCCTGAGGTGAGAGGGAGGCCCATCCCTGGATGCCAGGAGGGGAGGGGCTCAGGGTGGGGGGCTTCTGCCTGGAAGCAGTAGCCCCTGTTTACTGTGATGCACACTGAATCTGCTCTTGACGTGTCATGCTTAAAGCTTTCAGTAACTGTCACCCTGGAGTGCTGCTCCCCTTTTATGAGTTTAGAGACTGACACAGCCATGTCCAGTGGCAGCCTGTGCCTGGGCAGACAGTTGAATCCCAGAGCCAGGATCTGACAGGACTGGAATTGAAACTCTCCGTCCTGGTGCCGGCCCTCCCCCGCCCAGCCCCTCTCCAGTCTCTGGCGGGGAAGTAGCTGTGTGTTCCCTTCCCTGTCAGCGTAGCTTCCATCTTCTCTCTGTGGAAAGAGCTCCGTGTCCTCCACTCCACACCAGTCCCAGAGCCCTGGAATGGGATTACCTCATGAGCAGGGCTGAGCAGCGAGATCTCTCCAGCAGCCGGGTCTCCGGCCAGCTTTCCAACAGGGGCCTCAGAATCCCACTAGACAGACAGAGCTGAGCTTCTGCCACATAGGCCTGTTCCCCCACCCCGTTTGCTGCCACTGCCCTTACCCTTAAGGCCTGGCACCTCCAACCAGGCCTCTTATGCTCAGTATCCATCGTCCTTAGGGAGAAACTGGACTCCTTCCTCCCCGCCCACCTCTGTAAGCGGGGCCATGGCCTCTTTGCAGCCCTCCGGGGCCGTGGGGCCAAGGCTGGGACTGGCGAGCAGGGCTTGCTGAACGCCTACCGAGAGGTGAAGGACGTGGTTGGCAGTGACAGCGAGTGGGAGTCCTCCCTGAGTGCCCACTACCGCTCCTACCTCCTCAAGTGCCACGAGCTGCCCTTCTACGGGTGAGCAGTCTGGGCCCTGCCCACTAGGGTTAGGCCATGTCTGTCACCATGAGCCCCACGGTGGGGGCCCTTCTCTGTCTCCTTCTGCCCATTGTTATTTCTCACTGACCTCATCCACAGGCCCAGCTCCTTGGTTCACAGGTGGGCACCCAGGCTCCTCCCATTAGGACACCTCTGACAGGTCCCTCTCTTCAAACTGTCCCCAGCCTCTGGGTCGCCAGACGTGGGGCCTTTTTCTCCAGCCAGCTCTCACCACGTGGTCACCATTTAACACAGAGCAGTGCTATGAGTCTAGCATGCATCCAGGCACTTGGGGTGCCCTAGGAGGCCAGGGAGCCCCACCCCGGCTCTTGAATCACATGTTGGTGGGAAGAGAGGCAGTAAGCCAGGGAGAGGCTGAGTAAGGGCCATATGTCTTGGAAGGTAACGCTGAAAACGCTGGAGCAGCGTGGGGGTGGGGGGGTGTAGGGATCAGTTTGTGGTTTTCACTGGTGTGGTCAGAGCAGGTGTCACAGGACGGTGACATTTGAGCAGAGGCTTGTAAGTAAGGGCCTCAGAGTGTTCCAGGCAGAGGGGCTTAGCCAGAAAGGGGTGTGGACTGAGCCGAGGGGATGGGGCGGGTTTTGTAGGAGCCCTGGGGGCCTAGGCCATGGGAAGTTGTACAGCTAACCCCAAGGCCTTGCATCTAAGGGTTAGAATCTACTAGTGCGATTTACAGCCTCTCAAAAACCCACTGGAGTTAGCTATGCGTCAGTTCCCACTTGGAGGCAGTGAGTTTGAGTCTGAGGGGGCCACCCTGAGGACTTCGGCTTTGACTCTGAGAATTGCTGAGTGTTGATGAGGTGCCGGGTTTGCAGTTCTCACTCAGCCAGGGGTGAAGGGGTGAGGGGAGTGGGCGGTGCTGTGACTACAGTTCCAGCAGGGCAGAGGTGGGGAGGCCACGTCCCTGCCAATCACCACTCCTCTTTTCACTATCTAGCTCGGAGCTGCCTCGTGTTGCCTGGAGGCCCAGCCTTGGTGATGAGGGGGCATCTGTGCTAGGGGGGCTTCCCAGGCCGCATAGCCTCCCAGGGCTTCTGAGTGGAGCACATGGGGCTGACACCAGGTATCCCCCAGGTGCGCCTTCTTCCATGGTGAGATTGACAAGCCAGCCCAGGGCTTTTTGCACCGAGGTGGTCGCAAGCCAGTGTCTGTGGCCATCAGCCTGGAGGGCGTGCACGTCATCGACATCCGGGAGAAGGTACCGCCCCCAGCTCCAAGGGATGGGGACCCCAGGGAGGGCCATGGGGACAGGGATCGGCATTGTCTGGGAGGGGCCTGCTGCTCTCTGGGGGCGTCCCTGGCTCTGCTCTGGACATCAGCTTTCTGCCCAGTGTACTGAAGTCAGGATAAGGCTGAACTAGGGGTTTCCCGCAAAAAAAGGCATAAATGAACTTAGACTTCAGAATCACCCTGGCCAGGTGGAGTTGGGGACAAGCCTTTGATCCCAGAGTCTAAGCCCCATTCTCCCTGCCTGCCCACCAGCACGTTCTGCTGGGCCTGCGCTTCCAGGAACTTTCGTGGGACCACACCTCCCCCGAGGAAGAGGAGTCTGTGCTGTGGCTGGAGTTCGATGGGGAGAGTGAGGGCACCCCAGTCAACAAGCTCCTCAAGATCTACTCCAAGCAGGTGGTGGCCTGAAGGGTGGGCTGTGGGAGGGCGTACCGACCAGGAGTGACCAGGGGCTGCGAGGACCTGGTCAGGAGGCTCTGTGGCAGGAGCAAGGTGAGGGGGCCGGCGGTTCCTGGAGGGCTTGTTTGGACAACCCTGTGTCCTCCATCCTCGTTCCCCCGGAACCCTGTGCTGACAAGCCCTACTCCAGACAAGGAGCAGCCTGGGAAGGCTTGAGCCTCATCCCCCTGCTTTCTTCACCCGCTCATTTAGGACCTTTGCCTCTTCCCTACCCTTGTCCTGCAGGCAGCATCCCGTCCCATCACAGCCCCCTACCCTGCTCAGGGGTGTTCTTCCATTAGCTCTTGGACTCTTGGAAACACATCCTATGCTCCTGCCACCACCTCAGATCCTTACCAGCCTTCCCCCAGAGGGCAGCTCCTGCCTGGCTAGCTCACCATCTCAGCATCAGATACCAAATGTCTAGGCCTGGGGCTGCCCACCTGCTGGGCCTCATGCAGGTCTCTGTCCTCCTCAGGCTGAGCTGATGAGCGGCCTCATTGAGTACTGCATTGAGCTGAACCAGGCCGAGGAGCCCACTGCCCCCCAGGACAGCGGGCCTGGCCCCACTACAGTCCCAGGCTCTATGCCACCACCGACCCAGCGCCCCAAGCTGCGGCGACAGGGCAGTGTGGTCTGCAGCCGGCTTCAGCACCTTTCCACCATTGACTACGTGGACGATGGTGAGCATACGCGCGTACACACACTCAGGGGCTCGCAGCTCATGCACTCGCACCGTGGGCACTGCTGGGTGAGAAAGCAGAGCCGTGTAGACAAGCGGGGTCTGGATTGAGAGAAGGGCTGAGCTCCCGGTGCCACAGTGAAGGCCCCGAGTCCTGGCTGTAACTAGCTCTCCAGTCCTTTCCCACTGCTGTCTCCAGATGCCCTTATGGCAGCGTCCTCCAACATGCAACTAGAAGCCACCGACATCTGTTCACAGAGGAGTGGGCTGCATACTGGGGACCCATTGCAGCTTTTGAGAGTACAAGGTCCTAGATCCAGTGTGGGTCCCTCTGGTGGGAGGCCAGGACACTTGGCTGCTCACTGAAAGGCTGCAGGTTTGAGTCCCCCCAGAGATGTCTTGGCAGAAAGGGCTGGCAGTCTTCTCCCAAAAATCAGCCCTTGAAAACCCAATGGGAGCATGTTTATGCTCCTCCAACACACGCCTGGTTATCAGTGTGGGGTCTTGGACCAGAACCTGGAGCAGACCAAAGGCAGTCGTGGGGAAAACTGGTGAAATTCAAGTCCACAGTTAATAGAAACATTGCTGTGTATGGTCCAGTCGAAACTAGCCCATAGTTGACCGCTTAGCAGGTTTTCAGCAGCAGTCAGTCACAGCCCATCTTCTCCGACAGAGCAGATGGTGGGTTCAAAACAAATACCTTCGTGCTTGCAGCACAGCTCCTTACCACTAAGCTACCAGGGCTCCCTAAGTTAATGAAATAATGGTGAGGTTTTTTAAAACAAATTGTGATTTGAGTGCAGGTTTACAAAGCAGTTTTCATGCAACCATTCATACCCATTTGTCTATTAGCATTCGTTTCAGTACTTCCTCAGCTCTGATTTCATGAATCCTTCCATGCGTCTCTGTTTTCACTTTTCTCTATACATTATGCTCTTCTCCTTCCTTTCCCTTCCCTGGTAACATCCAAGATGGATTTCATCTGCATGTAACCCTTTCCTTAGATGTTTATAACTTTGGTCTTATGCAGGAGTCATCCTTTTATACCGACTAATTTAACTGTCCTCACAATGTCCAGTGATAGTGCTTCATTCATTTTATTGAGTTGGTTTTTCTTTATGTTGCTTAGTAATCTTGTGTGACTGTACCATAGTTTCTGCGTCCATTTATCTGTACCTTGTTCCCATCTCTTTGCTATTACAAATAATGCTTAAATATCTACATGGATGTACATATATTTGTTCATTTCATAGCTCTTATTTCTTTGGGATATATACTTAGTATGAAACTGCTGGATTAAATATTTCTATTTCTAACTTTTTTTATTATTATTATTTTGTGTGTGTGTGTACCGTCAAATCAGATCTGACTGGTACAGGAGGAGATTGCCCCCTCTTCTCCGGCAGAGCATCTGGTGGATTTGAACCGCGTACCTCTGGGATTGCAGTGCAGCTTCTTGCCACTAGGCCACCAGAGCTCCCCTATTTCTAACTGTTTAAGGAACTTGGAAGCAGGAGTGGCATCCACTTCCGTAATAGCTTGCCTCCAGAAACCTTATGAACCTGGAGAGAGGATGAAAGACACACAAGTGTTGAGGATTTTCGTTCATAGGGTCGCCATGGATGGCACTTAACACTTAAACATGCCGCAAATGACGCTAAATGTGTTTCTAAGCACGGTCATCAATTTAAAAGTGTGTGGCAACGTGTTAAAAACAACAACAACTTTTTAAGGATGTACCAAGCTGTTTTCCATAGCAATCACGCCATTTTACATTTCCACCAGTGTGTAAGGATCTCAACCTCTCTACGCCCTCCCCCGCCTTTGTTGTTTGTGGTCTTACTGAACTTTGCTGCTGTTACTGGGTTGAGATGGTAACGCATTGTTTTGCTGTGTGTCTCCATAATAACTAATCATCTGGAGCTTTTCTTCATGTGTTCCTTGGCCCTCTGAATGTTTCTAGTGAAGCATCTTTTCATGTCCTCTGCCTATCTCGTAGTTTTATTTGTTGAGGTGTTAGAATTTTCTATAAGTTGAAGAGGTTGGTTCCTTGTCATTGCCAAATATTTTTTTCTGCGTCTGTATGTTCTCTTTGCTTTTTTGGAGTCTTTTTTCCCCTCCCTTTTTTAAAAAAAATTTATACTGGTTTGCATACAGAATTCATACACATTGTGTTTAATGCAGATACATTGTGTTTCCCACATTACTTCATTCACACTGTTTCATACTGTCATTCCCATATATCATGTTTTATGAAATTAATCACCATCAGTATATGCCTACTATTATCCTGTCCTTTCAGATTCTTATGGATCTTTCCTATTTCTTTGTGGATAAGTCTTCAGAAGGATGTAAGGATTTAATTTTTAGGAGGTTCCAATTGTGTCGTTTTTCCTCTGCTAATTGTACATTTTAAATTATCTTTTATAATCTATCTATGCTATAGATTAAACTCTTAAATTTGCCTAGTTTTTCCTTTGATGATCTTTGTAGTTTTAGATTTTTTTAAAAAAATTTTTATTTTATTATTTTTGTGTGAGTGTACCGTCAAATCAGATCTGACTGGTACGGGAGGAGATTGTCCCTCCTTCCCCTGCAGAGCATCTGGTGGATTTGAACCGTGCGCCTCTGGGATTGTAGTTGCAGCTCCTTACCACTAGGCCACCAGAGCTCCCCCTGTAGTTTTAGATTTTATACCTAGGTTCTTGATCCATCTTGAGTTAGTTCTTGTATGTGGTCTGAGGCATGGATCTTATTTCCATTTTCTGCAAATAGTTAACTCCGCGTTGCCATCATCATTTGTTAAGGAGCCTGTATTCTCCCCCATTTAATGGATTTCATTTCTTTTATCAAAAATCAGCTTTTCATAGGTAGAAAGATTTATTTCTGGGTTCTCAGTTCAATTCCATTGGTCTGTGTATTTGTCATTGTTCTAGTACCACACTGGTTTTTTTTCTGTGGCTGTATAGCAGGTGTTGAGATCAGGAATTTTAAGGCTTTCTACTTTGTTTTCTTTTTCATTAGTGCTTTGGTTACCTGGGATCCCTTTCCATGTAAAATTGGTGGTTACTTTTTCCAACTCTAAACAGTATAAAAGGAGCAGACACAAAGAAATTGGCCAAGTCTGACTTCTACGTGCTTCATAATATCAGTAATATTCACGTTGTTGGTTTTTATGTGCCCTCGTGTCATTTGCGACTCACAGCAACCCTATGTACAACAGCTCTGAACCCTGCTTCATCCCAAGCCAACCTTATTGTCTCTGACATACCTACACCCATTATCCCCATCACTGAGTCAATCCATCTCATCCAGGTTCTTCCTCTCCTGCGCTGTCCCTCCATGCTTCCAAGCATGATGTTCCTCTCCAGGGACGTTCCGTTTTTCAACATGCCCAGAGTATGTCAGACAGAGCTTTATAATTCTTGGTTCCAAGAAGCAGCCTGGTCTCACCCTCCCTAGGGCAAACCTATTTGTTTGCCTAGCAGTCCATGGTATATTTAATACTCTTCTGCAGCACCACAACTCAAAAGCCTCAATTCTTCTATAACCCTTAGTCATTGTTCAGCTTTCTGATGCATATAGCAAGTAATAACAGTCTCAGTCTCTTTACCATCTGTCATGATGCTGCCAATTGGCCCAGTGGTGGGAATCTTTGTTTTCTTGATGTTGAGCTTCAATCCATATTGAAGGCTGCAGTCCTTGACCTTCTGGAGCAAATGCCTCATTTCCTCCTCAGTTTCAGCAACTAAGGTGTGTCATCTCCATAGCTCAGGTTGTTGACAAGTTTTCCTCCATTCTTGACACCACATTTCCCCTGACAGAGTCCTGCCTCCTGGATGATCTGTTCCACACATATGTTGAAAAAGTGTGGAGATAGGATGAATCCTTGGTGAACACCTTTCCTGATTTTGAACCATGGAGTATTTCCTTGCTTTATTCTGATGACTGCCTCCTATACTAGTCCAAGTATAGATTTCATGTAAGCACAATCGTTCTTCTCAGAGTTAGCCATACTACAAACAGCCACATGGTCAGACATGCTTCCCCATATGCTCTTGCACCTTTTTCTACCAAATTTACTTCCAGATGTGGGGTTTATTAGAGTAATAAGTTGGGAGTGGGGAGAGAGAGAAGCAAAAAGCATCACAAAATGCAAGTCCAGGTTTATTCCAATAGCAGCAAGCCAGATTAGCAGAGACAGTTACTCAGTTATTACAGAGAGCTTCTCAGTCAACAAGTGAACATCTAGGTTCAGTTCAGCAGCATAAATAAACCTCTGCTTTCCTCAGTCATCTAGCAAGCTTTATTCTCAGAGCAATTACAAATCAGTTTTTCCTTCAATCATCTAGCACGCAAAACCCATAATGGTGGCTCCATCTCCAGAGTTCCTCTGGTTACACCTTGCCAAAGTCCTTCACAGCAGTACCAAAGTCTCTTCACTCTCTCTCCACCATTGTTTTTCATAGTGTTGAAAAAGCTCTCTTCTCTTCGTCTTGGTCCCATAGCTGTTGACCATGTGTCTGCAATTAAGGTAGCAGGAGACCGAGCCCTCAATGGGTGCCAATACTGTTGCAGACTGAGGGTAAAGTAATTTTATAATAATAATGAGACAGGCAGCTAGGAATGAGATAGAACAGAGAGCATGAAAAACAGGGCCAGCAGTTCTCAAGACCCTCATTCCAGTTTCTCTGTCTCTTTATTGAAAATTACTAGGATATAAATCACAAAGAGAATTCAATGCAAATGAAGCCAAGCTCTTTCTATTGAAAACCTTCCCTTTGACTCAGGAGGGAGGGGTTAGCAAATGCACAATCTGGTAAACCCTTAAGAATTGCCTTAGTGCCTCAGGGTGAACTCTAGCTCAGGAAGTAGTAACACTCCCTCTGTAGGGGGCCCTAGCTGTCTCCTGTATGCAGGGAACAAACAGATCATTTTCTGTAATGTACCAAGGATTCTGGGGCTTCGCCTGACATACTTTGGACATGTTGTAAGGAGAGACAGGTCTTTAGAGAGGGACATCATGCTGGGTAGAGTAGAGGGACAGCGCAGGAGGGGAAGACCCTCTATGAGGTGGATTGATTCAGTGACTGGGGTAATCGGGATGGGTGTGTCAGAGGCAATGAGATTGGCACAGGATAGAGCACGGTTTAGGGCTGTTGTACATAGGGTCGCTATGAGTCACAAACAGCTCAACGGCACATAACAACAACAAGAGAAATCCTAACTTATAAATTTGTAATTCCTTCAATTCCTGAATAAGGGTTTTCATATAATATTTGGTATAAAGTTTGACTTCCCATACAATGCAGTGGATAGAAAAGCCAATTTTCAAGGTTTCTGACACCCACACACAGTAATGATGGGATCTGGATTGGAATTCCTAATATCTATAGATCAATATGGTGATACTGACATTTTATGATACTTAAATTTTTAGATTCAGCATTATAATGGTGATTTTTAAAAGTTGTGTCTTGGTAAATAGACAGTATGAGTAATATATAAAACTGTGTTTAAGACAGAAGAGATGTGATGAGTCACTATAACTAATTTCTTCTTAGTACTATTAAGCATTTAAATGATAAAACAAAATTCTGATAATATACTTTTTAACCACAGTCATAATCTTCCCAGATTATATCTAGAATTTGGTTGCAGGGCAGTAATTTTTCACCCAGCCCTTTAGTATTGGACATTATTGTTCATTTCTCATTTTCCACTATTATACACAACATACCCTCAGTTAAGTCCTTACTTGGAATCTCAGCTGTTTGCTCCAGGAAAATTCCTAAAATGGAGTTCCTGGCTGAAAATATGTACACATTTCAAGGCTTTTGGTCTTTATCACTCTTCAGAGTGATTTTTCTGTTTTCCAGAGATTTTAGGCAATGCCTACAATTAACATATTTGACTGCTTACAAAAGGTTGGAGGTTTGAGTTCACCCAGACATGTCCAAAGAAAGGCCTGGGTGTCTACGTCAGGAAAAAATCTGCCTTAGAGAGCTCTGGTCTCCTAGTGGCAAGAAGCTGTGCTGCAATCCTGAAGGGGCATGGTTCAAGCCCACTAGATGCTCTGCTGGAGAAGAAGGGGCAGTCTCCTCTGTGCCAGTTGGATTCAACTCAATGGTAACCCAACAAGGCGGAGAGGAAACCTGCCTTGAACACACTGTGGCCACACTTCTAGTCCAACGCAACAGTGCTTTCTATGAGGAACAGAACCAGTTTGGTGAAAACTGATACCTGCCTTCCTCGCCCAACAGTGGTGTCATTCTGAAAGTGAGACGTTTGGATTGGCATTTGAATACTAAATTCACTAAAAACCAGTTTATTTCCTTATTTTTCCCCTGGTGACCTTTGTCTATTCTAGGTTCCCACCCAGGACCCCTCATGACCATGGCATTTAGTCCTCCGGCCTCCTTAGGCGCCTCAAGGCTGTGGCAGCTTCTCACACTCCCTTCTTCATGCTGACCTTGACAGTGTTGAGTCTGCTCAGAGATTTTGCCCCGTAGTTAGAATTGGTGTGACATTTTTGCCATGATTAGATTGTGGCTAGAAGGGTTTACGAGGTGACAACTGGCCACCAGAGCTCCCTAGATAAAGACCACACAGGCACTATTTTTAGTACAGCATGTCAAGGGGACATCGTATCAACATGCCCTGTCACCCTGACATTGACTTTCATCTAACCCAGCCAAACCCCCTGACTCCTAACAGCCCTGTAGGGCAGAGCAGAACCTCCTCAGGGGGTTTCCAGATGTAAGTCTTACGGAAGCAGATAACTGTGTCTTTCTCCTGTGCTGCAGCTTGTGTTTTCAAACCTTTCACCTTTCAGTTGCTAAGTGCTTTTAACCGTTGTGCCACTGGGGTTTCCACTTTAGTTGCTTAGCTTAATCTTGTTAACTTGTAAGGGTCTTCTTAACAAGGCTTACCTTTTCATCACCTGTAAATGTCGGTATTTTGTTTCCTCGGTCTGTTCTTAGTCAAGTTTATCCGGCGCTCTCAGACCCCCGCAGCCTGTCCCAGCTGAGTGCCCCAGTCCAAAAGTCACACTGGTTCCCCTCATTTTGGGCTTGACCATCATCCTGGCACAGGGCTGCAGGTTGAGGGACTGAGGCAGAGCAAGATGACCATATGAAGGGGTGCTCAAAGAAAATGCAGGCCGCACCTCAGGGGCAGTCTGTCCTCAGCATGTCTCCTTCCCTCACAGGCAAGGAGATCAAGCGAGTGAAGCCAAAGCGCACCACATCCTTCTTCAGCCGGCAGCTCTCAGTGGGCCAGGGGAGCTACAGGGTGGTGCAGCCCCCCAACAGCCTGGAGCAGGGCTGAGCATGGCCACCGTGGAGGCCTTGGGACCTGGCCCTGCCCCGTCCCCTAAAAGTGTGCGCTGGTACCCCTGCTGCTTGTGGGGTGCAGATTCTTTAGCCCACGGGACAGGAACTTCAAGCCAGGATGCTGGGGCCTGCTGAACTGGCAAGTGGGTCCCCTCATTACCCTGGACTCCAGACCCAGTTTCCCCTCCCACCCAGAGGTCACCTTTGTACCCTTTCAAGATGGACAGTGTCCCTGCTCTGAAGTGCCTGCTGCAGACTCAGCTGGCGATGTCTCTGATGACAGGTGGCCCTCGATAGGGCACAGGACCTATGGTCCAGTCTGTCTTCGGTCTTTCCACTGGACTTTGGTAACTGCCCCACATTCCTTCTGCTGGCATTCCGCCCCTGCTACCAGGCCGGGCCATGCTCTGGAAGCAGGAAAGAGTCCATTGATTGGCGATCTACCAAAGGAGCGGAGATGATGAGAGCTCGCACGCTGCCAGGCTGGGCTGCCTGCGCTCCCCCTGCACTGGGGGGCTCTGCCAGGCCTGGCGTGAACACTGGAGCCAGCAGGAAAGTGCCTTTCTGTTGGCCTTTCACGACGTCACTGTGCTGAGGAGCAGCGGCTGTCCTGTGCAGGAACAAGCCCCTCACCCCCTGCTTGGGGAAAGTGGCCCCTCACAAACCTCACAAACCCCAGCCTGCCGTTTCTCCCAGGTTGTTCTGGGTCTTGGGTTGTTTGTTTTACATCTCCTTTGATTCGATGAAGCAGTGAGCTCTGAGGCAACTCATGAAAACAGCCCTTGTTTACCTGCAAGCCTCTGGCTTCTCTTCAGAGATGGCACTGGGGATTTCCAGCCAGTCTGGCCTGAGGCCTGGGCCAGCTGTGTCCTGATGATCTGGCAGCCGGAGGCCATCTCATCTTAGAAGGTGTGATGTGGAGGCTTTGATCTTTGTAAATTTGCTCCCAGCCTCTCTGACTCAGGGCCTTCCCAAGTGAGCTGACCTCAAAAGGTAGGCTCTCCCAGCAGGCACTGGGGTGGGTGTTGCCCGATGACAGGTCTCCATGGCTGCTTCTGGGCCATCCTGCCCAGGAGAGGCCAGGCCCAGGATGGCCAGATTCCCTTCTCAGTGGAAGCAGGAGCCAGCAAGAGTTATTTCTCTGAGTCATGTGAACACTACAAACGGGTTCAGAGGGATTCTGTCATACCATAGCCGAGCTGAGAGGCCTGTCAGTGTCCCCACTGTCTGGAATGTCCCAGCCTGCAGGCGGGTGCCAGTTGCTGCATCTTATCTTCCTTCTTGAAGACTTTCAACCCTCTGAGAGCTGCCCAGCCGGTTCTGGGCCCCCGGCCACTGGCGCCAACCCTGTCACATCAGTGCCACCAGCTGTTTTGATTCCAGGTGAATCTTATAGGCGGGCCACGCGTGAGGGGTGGGTGTGTTTGCATATGTGTGTGTTTACTCACGAGTGTGTTTACACACATGCATGCAGTGACGTGCTTCACTCTCGAGCCTGTCGCCTGACCATCATAAGTGCCTTACTTAACCTCTCCCTGTCTCTTGAGACCCTGCAGGACTTTGTTACATGCCCTTGAATAGTCTTCTTTTGTATAATGGATTCATTCATAATAAAATCTGCTTCAGGCAAACCCTGGGAGATTTGCAGTATGAGAAGGTGTGTTGGGGCAGCCTTACTTTGTCTTTATTTACTTTTTTTATTTGCAAGCAAATATATTTTACTTAAAATGTGCCCTTTGGTGAAAGCAGGCTGAGGCTCATTTGGTGTCAGCAGGTTACTTCGTCTTAAAGCCACAGGAGTATGAGCCCTCAGTCCCCAGCCTGGTGGACCTGGCAGGTTTTCTCAACTTGACGGTGGAAGGGAGTTAAAGGAATGAGGTCATGAGAGAGTGTCAGGGTTCCTAATGGTGAAGTGATTAAAAGCATTTTCCTGCTCAACAGAAGATTGACGCTTTGAACCCCCAGGAAGGTGAGGCAGTCTGCTGCAGTGACTGTTCCAGCCTCAGCCTGTGGTGCATCCCAGCAGGGGTGTCACGAGTCAGACTGAGTTGATGGCAGTAGTTTGGGGCCCAAGTGGAGAGGTGAGCCAGGAGGTGATAGTGGCCCCAGTCAGAGCTGTGACCTCTCAACAGCCTCTTGCCAGCCGTGTGTGGGTCCAGCAGTGCCATCTGTCCCTCCTCACACGTTGGCATCTGGCCTGTGGCACTGTCCATGTTGTGGGCCCTGGGTCAGACCAGGTGTTTACTCCTGTGATCCTGATACCCTTTTGGGGAAAGGACATTGTCAGCCTTGCCTGTGGGCCACGGAGCCAGGGGAAGAGTGGCATCAGGTTCCCCCAGCACTTGGTTCTGGACACACAGTGAAAGCCGGAGACAGTGAACGAACCCGGGCGCCGTCGCCATGATGCTAGAACAGGGCTGCCTGGACATACAGGGTGATGATGAGTGGTCGTCCTCTGTGGTCCTGGATCTCGGACACTTGACTGGTGGTGTGGTCATGCCTCGGTTTCTTCACTTGTGAAATGGGAAGAATACCACATACAGGGAGGCAGGGTAGCTTGCTTTCTGACCTACAGTGAACGCTTCACATTGCCATTTTTAAAATCCGTTATAAAGCTGGGAGGGACAGCAGGGCCACCAGAGGGGCCAGGCCTGCTGTTGGCACAAAATCCCATCCTGGAGGGTAAGGGGCGCCCAGCAGTATGGTCCTGGTGGCCAGAACCCCTTGTTGCCAGGTCATGTCATCTGGTCTGTCCGTTGCTGCTGGGAATTATACAGCATGGATTTATCAGTGTCCTTTTCGGCCTCAGGAGGTGTTAGCTGGACTTTGGGGAGGATCAAGGGGAGAATTCATTTCCTTCATTTGTCCAACTGAGAGCCAGGGCAGGTGGGCTCCTGACATGAAGGCTCTGGACTACAACCATCCAGGACCTTCCAGGCCAGCAGGTGCTTGCTTGAGGCTGGTCTTTCTGGGTCACCAGTCTCCACCTCCAAGCCACTGGCCCCCTTGTCCTCCTGGGCCCAGTTGAGCCTTGGCTGTTCAGCTTTGGCCCGCTGACTCCCTTTACCATGTGCAGGTAAAGGGAAGAACACACCTGGAAAAGGCCTCATACATTGGTGGGTTTCAGGGGTATGCCAGGTTCTTAAAGGGACCTTTTAGGTTGAGAGCACAGGAGCCCACAGCCCAATTCTGTGGACCTTTTCACCATAAGTGGGAGAGCCATGGCAGGAGGAAGCAACTGTAATTGTATCCTTGGTGGAGTTGGCTTCCTCATCTGTGGGGCACTCAAGGGCCAGCCCCTTCACCCCAGCATTGGTGCCTGAGACACCCTGTGGTCAGGACCGTGGTTTACACACGCCTGTGAGGCTCTCTCATAGGAATGTATAAGCCAGTATTTTCTATGGAGAAAAAAAAATTGAAGCTGTCAATGATTTAATCTTGCTTGGATCAACAGTCAACACCATTAGTACCAGCAGTCAGGAAATCAGGAGAGGTATTATATTGGGCTGCTGTCAGGGACCTCTTAAAAATGCTGAAGAGCAATGATGTCATTTTGAAGACTAAGGTGCACCTGATTCAGGCCAAGGTCTTTTCAATTTCCTGCTATGCATCTGATAAGCTGGACAATGACAGAAGAATTGATGGCTTTGAGTTGTGGTGCTGGAGAAGAATATCCCATGGACTTCCAAAAGAACAAACATATGTCCTGGAAAGGGTGCAGTCAGAGTGCTCCTTGGAGGCAAGGATGACAAAACTTTATTTTTCCTACTTCGGGCATGTAGCTAGGTGAAGCTGTTCCTCAGAAAGGGACATCATTCTTGGGAAGATGGAGGGTCAGTGAAAGAGAAAAAACCCCAGTTAAATGAATTGACACAGTGACTTCAGCAATGTGCTCTAGTGTCTCAGATGATCAGGATGGGGCAGGTTTCAGGTTTTCTGTTCATAGCGTTTCTATGAGTCATATGTGACTCAATGACACCTGACAACAACAGGAGGCTCACCTGCCCCTCTGCAGGTCCAGAGCACGTAGTCAACAACTCACCCCAGACAGCGAGGTACTGGCAGACTCCAGTTTCCCCAGCCCCTTGCTGTCACCCTCACACTGCCCAAGATGCACTCTCCTGTCCCCTACACACACACACACTTTGTCCCCAAGAAGTGCTGCACTAGAATGAGGAGAGTCCAGCAACAGAGCCAGCCTCACATGAGCCCTTTACTGTCACCGTGGCGCCAGAACTCAGCTCTCTGCATCCATTTATCAAATGCTCCACTCGCTCCCTGAGGGTACAGGGGACATTCAGTGACAGATGGGAACACATCTGCAGCCTGCCATGGCAGTATCTATCTGCTTTTGTTGGCCCACTCACACTGGCTCTTACTGTGTTCTGAAAGCCCTGTCCAGTGTCCTTCATTGCCACACGAACAGTGTGTTGTCTGTCTTTTTCATTCCAGTGATCAGAGGCTGTTAAATCACACATTATAATACAGCAGTTTACATTCTGGTGCGGGTGAGTGATGCTGAATGAGCCTCAGAGCAACGTCTTGGAAGTTGTTAAGCCAAAGGCTCCTCAGAAGCAGGGAGGGTGGGACTTCACCTCACATGCTTTGCACGTCATCAGGAGCCAATCCCAGGAGAAGGACATAATGATTGGTAGCTCAAGAGTCAGCAAAGGAGAAGGCCCTAAACATGACAGCATCACGGGCCGCAGCAAAGGCTTAGGAGGATAGGGCAGGGCTTGACAGTGCTTCATTCAGCTCAACACGGGTCACTGTGGTTGAGAACTGACATGATGGCACCTAGCAACAATGTGAGCTTCCTGGGGAAGAAGGAGAGGCTTGCCCTGCCCCCACGCACTGAGCTTGGTGCTGAGCCCCACAGGCCCCTGTTGAGAAAAAGCCTCCCAGGCCCGCTCCTGGGGGTCCCCGCAAAACAACAGCTCTCCCAAGCCAAAACTCAGTCTTTCTACCACTGAGACAGCACAGCTGTCCCGTCAG